GCAGATGTGGGAGGGGTGAGGGCACTCGTTCAGAATAGGAGAGGACAGCAGATTGATTTTCAGTAAATGAGATTCGCTTGAGGAAAACCTTTTGTACATCACTTTGTTTTTTTGTTTTTTGTTTTTTTTCTTTTTGTTTTTGTTTTTAAGTTACGAAATGCTGTGTGCCTGTATGCCTTCATGGGAACACTTAGAGAAACACATTAAAATGCCCACAATCCTGCCAGACTTTTTTCCTTTCTTTTTGCTTATTTGTGTGTGTGTGTGTGTGTGTGTGTGTGTGTGTGTGTGTGTGTGTGTGTGTGTGTGTGTGTGTTATATGTGGTGTATGGGTATGTATATGTGCATGTGTTTGTGTGTGGTGTCTGTGTGTGTGTGTGCATGTGTTATGTGTGTTGTCTGAGTGTGTATGTGCATGTGTTATGTGTGGTGTCTGGGTGTGTGTGCATGTGTTATGTGTGGTGTCTGGGTGTGTGTCTGTGTGTGTATAGGTGCACGCATTACTGGTTATTTTTAACTATCAACTTGATACAACCTAGAATCATCTTGGAAGAGTCTTACCTGAGGACTTATCTAGATCAGGTTGGCCTGTGGATGTGTCTGTGGAGAATTGTCTTGCCTGTTAATTGACCCAGCGCACTGTAGGAAGCACCATTCCCTAGACTAAGTCTGAACTTTGTGAGTGGAGAAAGATAGCTGGGCATGTAAGCAGGTAACGTGGATGCATTCATCGCTCTCTGCTCTTGACTGTGGGATAACTGCTTGAGTTCTTAACTTTACTCCTCAGTAATAGACTATAACCTGGTTGTAAGCCCAGTCAACCCTGTCCTACTCTAAGTTATTTTTTCATCGGGGTATTTTATCACAGTCACAAACACAAAAGTGGGACATGCAGACACATCTGGAGGTCAGAGGACATGGGTGTCCTCCGCTGTCACTCTGCCTTGTTCCCTTGAGGCAGGATCTCTCACTGAACCTAGAGCTCACTGCATCTAGAATGGCAGACAGGAAATCCAGCAATCTTCCTAACTAACCTCCCCAGCATTGAGGTCACAGTCACCTACTAGATGAACGCTGGAAATACAAATTAAGTCCTCATGCTCATGCATCAAGTACTTTTAGGATATAGGCAGGGACAAACAGGAAATCGCTGTCCCCTCTGCAGAGACGCTGAGCAGTTATCATGTAGCAGGCAAATAGTTGCAGGTCCAGCATTCCTCGGTTAGCCAAGACCACGTGGAAATACATGGATTAGTAGTTATGGGTTAATAATTAAGACAGAGCAAGCCAATAAGAAACCATAGCCAATGGCCAACAGTTTCGTAACTAATACAGTGTCTGTGTGTTCATTTGGGACTGACGCAGCAGTGGGCCCAGGCTGGCAGGAAGAGTTATAACAAATAGATTCAGAGATTTCTCTGTAACAGAGTAGGATCCTTGAGTGAAAGGAGATGGTGGGAATGCAGATACCTGAACAGAATCGACCCAAAGGCTGAGAGGTCCCAGCTGGCCCAGGACCACATCTCAGGCCAAGGATGGTGCTTGTTCTCAAGCCTCAGGATTTGTAGGGAAAGGGGATGGGCTCAGAGCAAACACCCAGAGTCAGTAGTGATGAGTACCTGAGCTCCTCGAGCCACTGCTGCCCTGGTGAGGGTAGTGCAGGTGCCAGCGGGGTCCATGGTACCATCCTGTGGCACATACAGGGTCCCATAGAGGTCATCCACATTCATCAGTGGATACAGATCCTTGGTCTCTGCTGGGCTCAGCACATGGGACTCCACACCATAGGCCTTGCCTAGCTAGAAGGACCCAGAATTAATACCTGAGCCCATGGAAAGCATGTCTTTAAGCCACTAACCCAACCCAGGGCCCTAGGTCCAACCCCAACCCTGCTGCCTCTAGAAGTCTGAGCAGGTCTCCATGTCCAGAGGACCCCTTGGGTCTGCTCCAAGAGGGTGAAGGGGTGGAACCAGTGCAGGGACAGGGTCTGGAGCCACGCCCCTTTGGCTCTAGCATCTGCTTCAAGGCAGCTTTGTGATGGGGTTGGGAGACTGAACATCCACTCCCAGAAATGGGCTGAAGTTCATTTGTGCAGTTAAGAACTTCGACCAGAAAGAGCTACAAATTGCCTAGTATGTCATAATAAAATTAAAATGATCCCCAGTCTCTTATTTCGGGTCTGAGGACTAGGTTTTCCGGTTGCCCCCAAGAAACACCAACATGATCCTGCCTTGGTGGCACTGTCAAATAAACCACACCCCATTTTAATTGGACATATGGCAGCCAATCAACTGGAGGTGATGACCTATTTAGCAGGGCTGTACCTGACTAGAGATGAGATTCCCTAAGAATGTTTTTCTTTTTGAGATAGGGTCTTATGTAGTCCAGGCTAATCATAACTATATAGCCAAGGATGACCTTAAACTCTGGATCTTTCTGATGGGGTAAGAGGCATGCACCACTGTACCAGGCTTCAGATTACTTCATAGGTAAAACAGTAACTCTGAATAGTTCAAAATTCAAGGTTTGAGAGCAGGTGAGCCATCACATACAGAGTTGTGGGTGAAACTCAGGGCTTGTGCACACCAAGCAAGCACTCTAGCAACTGAGCCCCATCCTTCACACTCCCCAGGAAATTGGAATGAAGCTTGTAGCCAAGCCTCTCCACCCAGGTAGTCCAGCCAGCAAAGAGCAGCAATAGGGTTTGAACCCACATCTGTAGAAACTTGTTTTCAGTGCCAAGGGGCTATTGCATGCACTCACCACTGGGGCCTCCTCCACTGTACCCCACAAAAAATACAGCATCCATGTGAGCTCCCAAAAAGGCACACACACCACCTTTCCTCCAGGGAATATAATCACCCACCTGAGCCCCTGCAAGAGCTCGCCCAGCTTTCCCTAGGAGCATACCCACCGACATAAGCCTCTTGTACTCATCTAAGCGCTGCCGGTTAGAGGCGATGAAGAGACCGCCATTCTGGATCCAGCCTGTGTGCATCCCAGTCTCCTTCTCCAGATCATGGCTCACCACTTGCCGGGTGTGTGCCAGAAGCTCCACCTCCACATCACTGGGCCGCAGCTGCCACAATAAGCCTGGCCCAGCACAGGGCACCATCAGTCCCCTGCAAGGTGGTACCACACCCACTTCTTCCAGCCAAATAACAGGTAGCAATGGGGAGCCCAGGGAGGCTGAGTAGGACGTAGCCTGCCACAGTTAGAGGTTAGGGCTATTCTGGGGCAGGTCAAAGTGACAATATCAAGGGCTCCCATCCACATGTGCCATCTATGTGCCAGATTGGTACACAGTCAAGCTAAGGGTAACCTCAAGAATCCTTAGCAGCTCTTGAGAAGCCTAGGCTAGCCTCAAACTTGCTATGTAGCCAAGAATGAACTTGAACTCCTCCTCTTTCTGTCTCTGGCTCTTAAGTGCTGACACAATAGGCCTGGGCCACCAAACCTGACTTTGAGAGGTTATAGGTAAAATTCATAGGCAGCAAATAGTTGAGTTCTAAGTCACAGAGCAGGCGAATATGAGACAGGAAACTGGCTGGACTCAGATATCCCAGTCTTCCTAAGATTGCTGCTTTTAAGTGGCAGAGGCTGAGTAGTAGAGGCCAGAAATAAGGCTGGTCTGATGTGGAGAGGCAGAGCTTGACAGCCCAGCTGCTCTGTGCCTTGGAAGATGGGGTGAAGGCCTAGAGCAGTGGTTCTCAACCTTCCTAATGCTGCAGCCCTTTAATACAGTTCTTCATGTTGTAGGGACCCCCCAACCACAAAATTATTTCATTGTTACTTCATAACTGTAATTTCACTGCTATGATGAATCATAATGTAGATAAAAAAGTCCCCCTCCCAAGGGGATCATGACCCACAGGTTGAGAACCTCGAGCTTAGAGGCAGTACACTGTGCACTGCCAGACTGGGTCAGCTCTCCACGCTCCAAGTTCAGCAGCCTCATGCTGGCCTCTTGACAGCAGCTGATGTACAAGTGTTTGCACACACCAAATTGGCACCTGTGCACCAGCATGCCACTGAGGCTGAGGACATGCAAACTGTGGGTGCTTAATGGTTGTGCACAGGGTCAGCCAGGAGAGTTCCACAGAAGGTGAAGTCCCTACCACACAGGTCCATACATACTCCAGCAGGCATGCCTCTACCCGTGGGCTTTCTCTGGGGAAGGGGCTTCTGCTCTTGGTTCAGACAGCTGCCTGGACCCAGCTTCACCCCGACCCAGAGGGCCACAGGCAGTGCCTACCATTTTCCCTAGCACAGCTTTCTGGAAAAGAGAGTCTGGCTGGCCTTCCACCCCAACCATGCATCTTTACTCTCCC